ATTAATTGGATCTTTCCTATTTTGAAATATAAGTAGTTATAAGCCAAATAGGTAAAAAAGAACAACATATTGTTCATATTTTGACTACTATTATCATTTAAGATTGTGTACAGAAAGTACGTGAGAAATCAGGGTTGTTACAGTATGCCAAAACAAACACTATGTGAAGTGAAAATAGAGAAAAAAAATTACACACAAGTTTGTTAAAATATGAAAGTAGCCTGAGTTGGTGGGAATTTGCAGTGAAGCCAAAACAAAACGCCACAGAAGAAAAAGAAAGGACTCATACTAGTATGTTAATGAGACCACACCTGGAACAATACATTGAATGTGGGATCCATCTAACACAAATGAACGCCTAGGAAACTGGAAATAGTTTAGAGACAAGCAATAGGGATGATTAAGGGCTTGGAAGGACTGAACTGAAACAAGATTAAAAGGCCTTACAGTTGTTTAATGTGGCTAAAAGATGACTAAAAGTGGTCATGATATCTGTTTATAAACATCTGAAGGTTGGGTGTAAACATGAAAGATAGAGTAGAATTGCATAATATGGTACTAAAAGGATTTAACTTGAGAAAAAATTTCAAGAGAGAATTTAAAGTAAATAGAATGAAGCTGTCTTCCAGAGACTGTGCATTTCCTTTTCTTTAGAGATTTTGCCAAGAATGAGGAAGTTTAGTAGAGTGCCCAGCAGAAGAGAATGACCCAACAGGTCCCCTGCAGATCTGATTTCTTCACTTTCACAAACCAGTAGAAACCTTTTTAAGCTTGGTCTGTTTGAACAACATTACTCAGAAAGTGTGTTTATTTATAGATTTTTAGAAAACCAGCAGCAAAGCACTTTAGATTCCTAGGTAATCGTGTTTTATCCTCATTTATTCCTGTACACTGTCTTGGTAGAGTAGAAAACAGCGTTAGACTTAGTTTGTATTGATGCTGGTCTCTAAAAGGCCATTCTCTCAAAGCTCAGAGTTTGGCTCAAAATTTACTAAGAAGCAACTGAAAGACTTTTTTTTTTTTTTTTTTAAGAATTGCGTATAATTCCAGTTGGAGTTGAAAGGTATACCAGCAGAGTAACTCAAGAGATCTATTTTGGGATTATTTCTACAAGCATCCAGTCTTCTGTTTTCTTTTTCCATGAATGTAGTATCGTATTCCATTTTTTTTAGCCTGAAGCTTGTTCTTACTAAAGTGATGGAATGGTTTTCCCTTAAGGTTACTTTTAAATAAAATTAAAATAAAGATTATGTTTTGGATTATGAACTCCTAGAGGGCTTTGTTTGTTTGATTTATATAAAACCCAATACCAAAACAGCACCATGCATCCTTGAAAAATAAACAAACTGTACATAATAACTGCAGAAGCACCCCACACTGAGGGGCTGGTTAAAGGAATTGCTAATAAGTAAATACTATATTTCTACTGATTTTCATTATAAAGTCACATTTTTCCTCCTTCTGCTACAAATGTCCTTTCTCAGATTAAGTTGAACCTTTATGGATATCCTGACGGCCTGGTTAATGTCATGTAGAACCTGCGAATGTTCTGAATCACTTCCAGAATAATCCAGCAGATTTGCCTCCAATATTTCTCCAGATGTCCTTTTCAGGTTCTTTGAGCTTCTTGCATTGTTTTACTTTTTCCTCTCTTGATTGCTTTGTAGAACTTTGTTGCAGTACCAGACTGGGCCAATAGATGCTGCCACTTAATGATGTTAACTGTTGAAAGTTTTCCAGTTGTCAAGGCCTAGGGTTAAGTGTGTGTGTTGAGGGAGCCGGATGAAGGGGAGAGTAATGGGTAACTGGTATAGTCTTTTAGGAAAGTAATTTGGTTTTTAATTGTGTGCTTATAAATTATTTTAATTTTACCACAAGATGATAAGTAAAATAATAAAAAATAAATTATTAAAAAGACATCTCAAGTTCAGATACTTCAAGTATATTTTAGGCAAAGAAATCAATAATACAATGAAACCAGAATTTTTAAACCAATAAGTCTTTTCTTGAAGATCTAATTGGCTTTATTAATAAGTCTTTTCTTGAAGATCTAATTGGCTTTATTAAGCATTTCATAAATCAAGCAAGATCCTATCTAGCAAGTAGGACCTGAGACTTAAAAATAGCATATTAAGTATCTTGGACTCAACATTTCTCTACAGTAATGGAAATAAAAGTTTTGAATATATGTTTTGGAAAAGCTAAGGAATATAAGTAATGTAATTCTTTAAGTCAATGTTTCTCAAATTCTTATGTGAGGTAATTTTAGGTGGTATAGTATAAATAATTTTTGATTCCATAATATAGATTCATTTGCAAGATCATCTCTTTATGGCAAATTGTATTGGTTTTCCACTCAGGAAGATAAAAAAACATTTCCTTTGTCAGGTAATTTTATTTAATAAAAATAGTTTATTTAAAGAAAAATGGTAAGCTAATAATATTACTGGTGACACGGCAATAATTACAAAAGTGGTTTTCAATAGAAACGCTGGAAATAATGCCTTGTTTAAACAAGCAATACATTTTTGCTATACAACGTTAAAATTCTTTGTTTACTGTGTTCAACTTATTTCAAATGTGGACTGAAAATACAACATCTTAGATGATTCCTATTGGTATTGTTGTAACATATGTATATATATATATATAAGACCAGATGGATTCGAAGGTAATAGTAAGAGATTGAATAATTGTGATACAATTGTGATATAATTTGGGGTTTTTGGATAATTTCTCAAATGCATTCTTAGGCAGATGTATGAGAAATGTGGGAACAAAGTAACTTGAACACAAGGTAAATATTGCTGAAAATCTGATTTTAGAAGGAAATAAAGAAATATTCTAAAAAAAATGTGTATGAGAATATGCTGGGCTAAAGTATGAATTTTTATTATATCCAAATTATGCATCTCCCCACCTTTGTTTAGAGGTGAAACTAACACATAATCTTTTACACCAAAATGAAATTCAAAATTTTGTGGCCTTAGGAAGAGAGCATTAGATTCAATATTGTACTTAATTTTTGCATGATATTTGCTCTAATCACTGAGCATTCTTTGACACTGAATAATTTTTATAAAACATTAAAATTGCATATTTGGCCTGAAACATATACACTGTATTAAAAATTATTCCTATTTTTCTATGACCACTAATAATAATAACAGGATCACAGTGGCTAAGAAGGGTCTTTGGGGTTACACAGAGGCTTTTAAATCTTAGGTTTGCCATTTACTATGAAGTTGCTAAAAATTCTGAACCCTTACTTTTCTCACTTGTAAAATGGGGGGAAATAAGGTCTGCAAAGTCAGTCAAATCTGCCCACTGATATTTCCATCTTAAGTGTATATTAACTGGTATCTTCAGGACAGAATGTGCTCTAGAGCATGTTTCAAATCCTCTTTGCACCAAATCCACCACTCGAACCCTTCCTACCTCGAAAACCAGAAAAGGGAACATTATGCCTGGGGGGCATCCAAGCCCTCCAAAATAAATCTGCTGGGAAGAATACCACCCAGTGAGTGGTGAGAGCAGAAATGAGTGCCTTTATCAGTCTAAAATTACTTCACCTTTTCCATTGCCTGTTAATAACAGCAGATAATGCTCCACTAATTAAAAAATGAACTGTAATTACAAGTTTCAATGTTGGTTTTGCCTTTGAACTTGACAGTGTTCATGTCAGTTGCATAAAACCAAGCTGAAGAAGAGAGGGAAGTCTTTTTCTGAACTTATACAGAATATAACTTAGATGGCAATATATTAAAACTCCATTTTCTTTGAATGGGAATAATTTCTACTGGTTAACTTGCTGTCTTCAGGCTACAACTAAGGCAGTGTGAGGGGCTGCTTCCTGAATCATAGACTTTGTCGTTAGACACCATATCGTTTGTCTTCCGGAAAAGTTACTTGGGTTTCTTTGGGCCTCAGTTTCCTTGCCACTTATACCGGTTTAAATAACAACCCTAGAATAGAGACCACGGAGTTGTGAAAATTAAATGAACTCATATATACCATAGGTGACCAGTATAATGTCTGACATTCAGCAAATTACAACACTTATAATCTATGTGGCAGTTAAAGAAGATGCTCCTAAAATAGGCAGAAGGTTTTAGGAAGAAGTGGTTAAATGGACACAAAATTTATGTATTGTTTATTGACTACTTTGCGGCAGCCTTTTGTGAAACACACATGTGCACATATAGAATATTAAATTCTATGCGGGTTTATAATCCATGCGCACATCATGAAATGTCACTTCAGCAGTCTGCCTGGGGAACCTCTGACGCCGCATTGGAAGTCAGTCTTTGCTGCTTGACCTTTGGGTGTCCAGGAGGGACGCCTCTACCTGCACCCAGCGTTGGAAAGGGCCCAGGTCTTCCCAGCGCGGCCTATCCCCAGACTGCTTACTTATTCCTAGCATATATCTTCAAGGAAAAGGGCATTTCCTCCCTTCGGAGAAGCTCCCCGTCTGGCGTGGGTTGGTTTTTATTTTATGTTGCTGCAAGCAGCGAGGTCCCTTCTGTCTCCTCCCTTGGGGTAAGTGGAAAGAGTCCAGCAGGAGGCCCGCAGCGGCCTACACTGGGCACGGGTAGCGACAGAGTTAGAAGGTAACTCGTGGGCTGCCCCGCAGAAGCAGGTGGGGGACCAACAGCGGTTCCCTGAGCCTCGGGAGGGAGGGTGGCCGCGGTCGGCGCCAGGCCGGTGGGGGCGGGGTTGGGGCGGCGCGGAGGGCGCTAAGATTACCGCGGAGCCACGGGGGACGCCCAGGGCTCCGCGCGGCCCCCACGCGGGATCGCAAACGATGACAACAGGCAGTCACCCGAGCTCGAATAAAAGGAGTGGCCCCCCGCGCGCCGCTGCCCCCCACTGCCGACCCCGAGGTCCCCGGCGGCCTCCAGTGGTCGAGGGCGCCGGCGGCGGCGTCCCCCGCCCCCAACCCCGCGCGCAAGTGCGAGGCTGCCCGCCGCGCGGCGCACGCTCCGCCGCGCTCGGCTTCCGCGCAGAACTTGGAGCCCACGTGAAGTTGTCGCTCTCCTTTCAGAGGGGGACGGAGCTTCGGCAAAAGCTGGGGAGTGAGGACTGCCGTGTCCGCGCGCGAGCTCTCTTTTCTTCTCCTCCCTGCCAGTCCTCAGCCCGAGTTTGGCTGCCCTCCTTTCCTCCTCCCCCTCGGAGCCGCTCCCCCCGCCCCGCTTCTCCCCCACTCGTGGACGCTATTTGTTGGGGGGTGGCCGAAGGGGATGTCCTGTTTTCGCCAGAGGCACAGCGCGGAGGGGAGACTTCGGCACTGGAAGGAGCGAGAGTAAATACCTAAATACAGAGGCACAGATTCGCGGCTGGGACGGGCACTCGAACCTCCGGATCCCGAGGCGGTCCGCGCGGCGGGAGGTGAGTGTCCCGTCTTCCGACCCCCGGCCGCGGGGCTCGCGGGGTCTGGGCTTGAGGGAGCCTGTAGACTCTGCGGGCCAAGTGCGCGCCGCGCCGCCGGGGGCCGGAGCGCTGGGGACCGCGGACGCGCGGCGGGACGTTGTATCGGCGCTGGAGTCCCAGGCGGCGCTCGCAGGCGGAGGCCCGGCTGCTCCGGCCGCAGGGGTGCCCTTTGCCCGGGAGGGTGCCCCCTCCGGCCCCCGCATCCTGAGGGACCCCTCTGGGCCTCCTGGTCTCCCGCGGGGCAGGCGCGCAGCCGGCGCCCGGCGAGGTGCGCCGCTCGCTACCTGTCCTTCTCTCCAGCCTCGCAGAGAGGCTCGCGCCCCGGCATCCACCCTACATCCTTCCTGTGACATTTGTTACTTTGTGATGACCCCCTAGATAAGCCAGCCGCAAGGATGCTGACCCAGGCCCCAGGGCGGGCCCCAGACGCCCGGGGATTTCGCGGTGTTGGGTGCGTGTGTACGTTCAGTGCATGTGTTAGAATCTCGAGGCAGAAACCGGCCTTTTAAACGTCGGCCGTCCTCCTTTAATAGTTTTTCTATGGCGTGGACCGAATGTCTCCTGCAGTTTGCCAGGGTCCGTGAAACTAGAGGCGCCTTGTCAGAGCAGTCGCGTTCATTGGCCCGGGACGCGGATGCCATGGAGGGATTATAACTTCTCCCAGCGAAGGGACCTGGCTGGGGAGAGCAGGTTTTCTCTTGTTGCAAAGCCTGCCGGGTCTGGGTCTGGGGTTGCTGCGGTTTTTGAAAAGGCTCGCTGTTTTAGCCTCTTTAAGCGGAATTTAGAAGTAGACCGGGTGTTTGCATGTTTTATTTTGCGCCGCACAGAAGCCAGAACTTCCGTTGAGTAGCACTTTAAAGATGTTTCTTTCTTTGTAAATATTATTCCGAAGAGTTTGGAGCTGTGAGAGAATTTGCGGACCGAGTCGCATGGCTGAGCTACGGCGAAACCGGAGAGAGCTCAGTTTCTGTCACCTCTTCCGTAGTTGGGGTGCAGTGTCGCCCCTCACCACCACCTCTGTTTCCTGTCCCCTTGAAGGCTGATGGGGTTTATGCTTGGGGTGAGTGCGTCTAGGAGGGTGTTCTTGGGAGACGGGCTTCTCCCTTTTGCCCCCCGCTCCTCTGCCCGGCGGTGCAGAGCGGGCAGAGTCATTCATGAATCTTAACCCGCGGGCAGTGAGAAGGGTGAGGGCCCTCGGCTTCTTCTGCCGGGGTGCGGAAGAGCGACGGGGCGTGTGTTTTGGTTTCAGAGCAGTTCCACGTGGAGCACCTCCGTGTGCGTGTGTGCTGTGTACTTGATCTGTGAGGAGGTAACAGGAGTCTCGTGTTCAAACCCAGTGGGCCGTTGGCCATTAATTTGCTTTCCTGGCTGTCATTACAGACACTTCCAAAATCTGATACCTAAGAGAACCAACAGGTTAGGTTTCACATTAAGAGCTCATACTTAACAGTTTTCTTTCTCCCTTACCCCTTTTGGCTTGGCACCCTGGGATCAATGTAATTGATGGAACGCAGCATATCTTCTGAATATGGCATTTTGTTTCTCTTCTCACCGGTGGCCACTCTTTGCACGCTCCGGCGTTTGTCAGCTTCAGTGCGGGCTCCTGCGGGACTTAGGCGGGAGCCTTTAACAACCGCAGACTCTCCTACAGCTTCTGAAATTTCATTTACACGTAGGTGATTGACAGTATTGAAGGTTGAAGATGGGGTTTTTTTTTTTGTTGTTGGTTGTTTTTATTTTTATTTTTAAAATCTTATCCGGAGAAGGATTGTACTTGATAATCTTTCCCGGGTAGAACTTAGTTTTAAACAGAAACATTGCCTCTTTTTTACCCCCAATATTTCTGGCCAGCTTAGAGCTGAAGAACCACAAATTAGGCAAGGGGGTGGGGAGAGAATCCTAAAATAAAATATTTGATACGTGGTATGGAGCGTTTTAGGAGACTGTATTCAAGGGTATTTTGTATTTTTTTTTTAAATAACGTTATCACAAAAAATAAGATGCAGTTAGTAACAAGAGACAAATGTTTTATATGGAGCAGGAATGCCAGAATCTGATTTTTATGGCATCAATACCAAATGCAGATACAACACATCCATTTTTATTGTTATTATGAACCATAAAAATAGTTTGTTCCACTTGATTAAACCTTGTAAGCCTTTCAGAGTTAAACCAATTTTTAGAAATGACTGTTCAAGAAAGTTAAAACCTTTTACAGTTACAAATCTGAAAGCAATATAATTAGATTATCTGGAAACTGTCCCTTTTTTCTTATTATTAGGGAAATATCCTTGTCTTTCAGAATAACTGGAGGTCTAAAATGAATGTGGTTTTCACAAGCATGTTTTCCTTTGTCAATTACCTGAAAATAGTATGCTTCAACATTTTAAGACCATCATAATTAGAGGTTCCTTGACAATTATAATTTAAATTAAACGATTTACTTTATTATGCTCTTTTTATTACTGTTTTATTGGATATAAGAAACTTAATTCTCCTTTACAAAGTGAAAAGCTTTATGTATATATACATATTCATAGCTTATGTTTACTTTAAATAATATGGTTAAGTTTAAAAATTAAAAAAACACTAAGATTTGTATAAAAAGAAATTGGTTCAAAGACCATCATTATTTTTATTAAGAAATACAGATGCTGCATTGTAGAGGGTTTTTACAAGCTAGTTGGAAAAAATTGTCATTGCATGAAAGTTTCTTTTTTTGAGGGGAGACTGGCAGTTGAGTAGTTTGTCATTTTGCTGTAATTTATTTTTTCTTTTAAAAAATCTCTTTGAGTTGGAAAAAAAGAAAAAAGTTCTCCATTTCTAAGAGCTTTCTTTTTATTTATGTTGTCATTTGGGGTGTAAATAAATTTTACATAGCCATGGGAAATAGAGTGTCTAGCTTCCTGCTCTCAGTCTCTGTTGCAAGCTCTAAATGACTGATGGCTGTGTCTAAAAATATATTTATGTGGCTTGATATTTCATTTTTTAAAAGATGTATGCTCTGGAATTAAATTTTCCATAATTTTTAGAAAAATAGAATGGTAGAAAAACCCTAACTATTGTTACAAATAGTTAGGATGTTGGAAAGTTCATACTCTAATTTTCAAATAATATTAAACTTACTTCACCCAGTGGAACCTCATACTTTTTTATATAGAATTTAAGAAGAGGGGAGATAATCCTTTGTGAGACTTAGTGAAGTGTTAAGTAATTTAAGAGTCCAAGTATTTATTAGGTTTTGTCATTCTTGTTTTTTTTTTTTCCTACTAGGTAAATGTAGGAACACTGAACATTCAGTAAAAACAGGCCCCCCTTTATAAGGAGTTTATTCACCATAGTTCTGTATTGCAGCTGCTGATCATATTTCATGGAGCTGTTAAAGCACTTAAAACCTAAAATTAGGTACTGTCTGGTTGTAAATATTTCAGGTCACTCATTTAAGAAGCAAACAGAACAGCATGTTATCAAAAGTGGAAGAGGTTTTGAATCCTCTCATTGAAGAGCTGAACGAAGCAGACACCTTGTTATTTTTTCAGTGAGAATATAATCAGGACAATTTCTTTTTCAAATGGATATTACTCTTACATATTCTAAACTCTTAAAATGTGTCTACCTGTAGCATATCTTAAACTAATTGTATTCAGAAATACAATTGGGAGATCTTATTACATTGGTTACTAAGTGAATAAAATCAACACTGGGAGCAATGGAATGGTGTTACAGTGTACCTGCTTCTCTCATGAATTTTTCTCCGTAAACTATAGAGTGACATGATTTTCAGTCATTTGTTTTAGAGATAGATAAGATGCAATAGTGTATTTAACTGCAGTGTGTGTACTACTGCATTTTGCAGTTAGATGCGTTTTAATGTGGGGGAAGCCGAGTATTCATTAAGTTGTACATAGAGCCAAACTTGAAGTCAATTTAGTTTGAACTTGAGTGGAAGAAAATAAATAAGAATCACATATTCAAAAGCAGCAAAAGCAACTTTGATTGCTTTTAAGAGCTTTGAAGACTTTGTAAACATTACTGTCCCCTAATATTGCTTGTGGCACTGCACATTCGTCTACACCTCGATGATGCACCATTTTATTCTTGAAGTTTGTGGTTCTTACCATGTCCCTATCCATGTTTTTATCAGTAGAGTGGTACTGAAAATGAATACCAGTACCCTTACTCCTTTAACTTCCCCCCTCTTCCAGAAAAAGATGAAATGGATTAATTTAAAAATAGAAACCATTTTGAGTTATCAAAACCACATTTATATAGTGGTTTAAAACGGTTTTAGAAAGCGCACCTCTGAGTCTCATTGTAACCTTTTCTGTCATTGAAAGGTGCTAATTGATCATAGGGCACTGACATAACAGTGTAGTTTGATACTTGAAACCTTTCAGCATTGGTCTGGCCCTTTTCTCACCCTGAGATTTCAGTGCGTGGCTGATGAAGAATAACACCATATTAAAATGTCTGGAATTCTTACTTTTCCCCTTCATATTGAAACATTTTAATACAACACATTCGTACTTTTAGAGCTTTTATTTATCTACACTAAGTAAATTTATTTTCAAGTTCTTTAGGACCATGGAAGAAAGACCTATACTATCATGCTGGCATTTTTTTTATATTATTTTTTTACAGGTAGATTTCCTTTTAAGATGGAAGATTTTAGGCAAACTGATAGCCGTGATCGTAGTTGAATACTTTCAAAGTGAAGTTGCGTTAAACCAATATTGACTAGCCATCCTGACATTGCATATCTAATGTATGTTTTCTTAAATAGTTTCATATCTTAAAGTGTATTTTAAAATAAAAATGGTGGTTTAGTTTTTGTACAGTTGTAACATTCCTAAGTTATCATTATCATTAATCAAATCATAATCACAACATTATAGCTGACATTTATTGAGAATTTACTTTATGCAAATAATATGGATTAACTAGTTTTATCTTATCAA